ATAGTTGGAGCGTTGAATGCTTGCGCTTCCCCGGTAGAGGGAGACAACACAAAGCCATGCGTCTTTGGCCAAGGCGAAGGGCCGAAGATGAGGTAGGTCTTTGGGTGGGGTTGCATCTTGAATGATGAAGAGAGCATTCTCATTGAATTGATTATCCGCGGCTTCTCGAGGAGTGAAGTTGCTTGGATCATGCGGATAGAAACCTTCTTCAATGATTCTCCAAAGATTAGTGTTCACATGATTTAAATGATGTTTAAAGCGGTAAACCCAAGAATCAAAGTCCTCATTTTTCACAATCTTAGGGGGAGGACCGGCATGATTCAAATGAGTGCAAGGAACCGGTCCACCATAAACAAGTGGTGGTTCCACATGAGCAAAGATGTCGGTGCCATTTTTACCACTAGACGAAGGAGCCTTTTCACTACTAGCTTCCCCCTTGTCGGAGATAGCATCCGTCACCTTGTCAGTGGGATCACCCACTTTCAACGGTGCGGTGGATAGTTTAAGCCCCTCAAGCAATTTAGTAAAAATGCTTTCAACCTCGGTCGTCAAGGAGATTTTCAATGTCTCCAAGGCCATATTGAACTCCTCACGAGAGACCGAGGTTCCCCCATCGCCCGTAGACGAGGTCGGATTCACACCGGAGTGTTCCTCCACACCGTCTACGGTATCAACCATACTCTTCGGATGGTAAAGTCCTTAATAAAGAGACGAGGCTCTGATACCAATTGAAAGGATCGATATGGTTGACTAGAGGGGGGTGAATAGGCAACTAAATTTTTTTAGCTTTTCTTTAACAATTTAAACTTTGCATCAAAGTAGGTTGTCTAGATATGCAACTAGGTGAGCAACCTATATGATGCAACAAGGATAGGAACACAAGCAAGCAAGAGATATGATACAAATAAGCTTGCACAAGTAAAGGTACGAGATAACCAAGAGTGGAGATAGTGGAGACGAGGATGTGTTGCCGAAGTTCCTTCCCTTTGAGAGGAAGTACGTCTCCGTTGGAGCGGTGTGGAGGCACAATGCTCCCCAAGAAGCCACTAGGGCCACCGTATTCTCCTCACGCCCTCACACAATGCGAGATGTCGTGATTCCACTATTGGTGCCCTTGGAGGCGGCGACCGAACCTTTACAAACAAGGTTGGGGCAATCTCCACAACTCAATTGGAGGCTCCCAACGACACCATGAAAGCTTCACCACAGTGGACTATGGCTCCGCGGTGACCTCAACCTTCTAGGATGCTCAAACACCCCAGAGTAACAAGATCCACAAGGGATTAGTGAGGGGAATCAAATTTCTCTTGGTGGAAGTGTGGATCGAGGCCTTCTCAACCACTCCCGAGCAAATCAACAAGTTTGATTGGCTAGGGAGTGAGATCGGGCGAAAATGGAGCTAAGAGCAACAATGGAGCTTAGGGTTGGAAGAGATAAGTCAACGGGGAAGAAGAGAACCCCTTATATAGTGTGGGACAAAGATCCAACCGTTATCCACCTATCAGCCCACGACCAGCGGTACTACCGCACCAGGCCAGCGGTACTACCGCTTGCTACCAAGTGGTACTACTGCACGGACATGCGGTACTACCGTGCAGGCCCGCGGTATTGCCACAACCCCAGCAACAGCAAGGTCGGATCAGAAACACAGGATCTGAGGGCGGTACTTTCGCGGGCGCGGTACTACCGCGCCCCCATGCGGTACTACCGCACAGCAGGAATCCCCTAGCCAGGGGGAAGGATACAACCGCGCCTACTTCCGCAAATAAACGGAAGAAGCAAAAACCCGACACAGTAGTACTGCCGAGGGGCGGTACTACTGCCTGACAACATAGCATGGTACTACCGTGGAGCAAAAGCGGTACTACCGCGGTAGGCGCGGATGTAAAAAATTACATCCGCCCCTACTACCGCGAAGGAGCGGTACTAGCCTGGTGAGCAACGGTAGTGCAGCTCCAGGGGAGCGGTACTACCGTGGGCACCTGGGGTACTACCGCGCCGCAGCACGGTACTACCGCTGGTGCCAACGGTACTACCGCTCACTTGGGAGCAGTACTACCGCGAGCCAACGCAGCAGCCAGAAACAAAGCGGCGAGAAAGCGGAGGATGCTCCAAGGGAAAGGAGGGGACAAGAAGGAGACGTGTACGTGATGATTCCACCCAAACCTTTCCGACGCGGACCCCCTCTTAATAGTATGGCTTTCCTACGACTCAAATCCACCAAAAAGAAACGTAGAAAAGACGTCGTCTTCAACAGTCTTCGAGGGGCACCCAACCGTCTTGTGTCTGGCGATGAAATGTCTGGGATACTCAAGGCACACGATTAGTCCGCAAACGCGTTGTCATCAATCACCAAAACACCTTAGGGATAAATATGCCCTTACATACCCGACAGGTGCTCAGTCAAATGACATTGAGCTTATTTTCGAACTTCATGTCGTTTTTCAGAGTAAAGGATGGCGGGGTACTCGAGCATGGAGGATGAGTTGTTGTGGAATGCATGGTTGGCCTTTTCTGCGGATTTCGTAGGCAGGAGCAGAGGGGACTTTTCTGGCAGCTCGTGCATGATTCGTTTCATGTGCGGAAGCACATTGCTCCATGTGACATGCACATCATCTATGAATGCAATGGGAAGTCGCTAGTGTGTTGATGGTACACCATCCAGACCACCGTCAAGTTTTGTGGCGCGGTTGATTGGCTAGAGGCAACATGACCATTGCACGCAGCAGCCGGAGATCGTAAGTTTTTCTTCTTCTTGCTCAACTTGTTGATTGCTTCATTCATTCACCCATTGTTGCTCTACACATTGTGTAACCTATACGCGTTGTCATGATGTACCACGAGATAGAGAGCAAACCATTTACACACATCCATTGTTGGATGAAGCTCAAGAGGCAGTGTGTGTGGGACGACATGATCCATTCGTGAAAATCTTGTTGAGCATCCGGATAATCTCGTTGAATTTGATCTATTGTTGTACTAGACTTATTTGCATGTTATGTATGGATGATCTATGCTATTTTCTGTTCGAACTTTAATGAATACTGTCGTGTTTGATGAATTTTGTGTGGTCAGTTGAAATGCAATTTGAATTGTATGCGGATAGCGTTGGATGGTTGGCCCCCGCATCCGTGTCCGTGGACTGGTCACCCCTGTCCGCGGACGGATGTGTTGTCCAGTTTGCAGCGTTGATGCCCTTTCTTAGATCGGCATTGTTTATGTATACAGCTCTGTTAGAAAGGCATTCTCTCGCGTGACCCCTGCCCCCGCGCCGCTCCCTCCCCGGGGCAACACGGGCGTCGAACCCCACCCATCCCATCCACCCTCTCGTCGTCGCCGGTGGCCTCCGGCAGGCAAAGCCTGCACGAAGCGGGCGGCGGCAGGGCTCGTGCTCCTCGTCGACTGCTCGTTTGATGGGGAGATCTCGAGCGGCTGGCGACTGTTCGGAGCTTGTCTTCACCGCGGCGTCCTCGCTCGTGACAGCGGTGGTCGTTGGCGTGCGGCGCGGTGCCGCCACGATGTAGCTCCGGTGCAGGAGCAGATAAGGTCAGTGCGGTAGTGTCTGCTCTGAAAATTGATCAGTGGAAGATGGCGGCGACGACACATGAGAGTGCGTCGGACCGGTGTGCGCCCCAAACCCGGTATGTTGCTTGGTTGGGGGCTCTGGCTTTAGATGTTAGGCTTTGGTGTGATGTCCGTTTGGTATTAGGCTCGGACTATCGGCACACCTTCATCAAGTGGATAGAAGTAACGACAGATGTTGCTAAGATGGTGGCTTCAGACTACCTGGTGTACTATTTTGTAAGGTTTTTGTGAAATAATTAATAAAATGGCTGCATGCATCACCTAGATGCAGAGGCCGGGGTAATCCTCCTTTTTTTAAGAAAAATATAGCTTTGTTAGATGTATGACAAGTGTCATCATCCTGGTCATACTATTACAAATATCTTAATTCTAGAACTCTCTACGATGTTATCTAAGCCCTGCATGTTTTTTACGCTCATGAATAGTGTAGATACCACCTGAAATATCAAGCTCTAGGATTTTCTTAATTACACTCTGAAATGTCACTATGATTTTGCAATAAGCGCCAACTGACATCCCACTCTGTTGTCTTCCGGTAGTATCGTATCAGAGACCATTACCTGAACAGAGGCTGTGTATAAGCTCAGATCAGGAGGATTTGATGTGGTCGTTGTTCCGCCATTTTGTCTTACAATTGTGGGATGTGGTTCATTTTTTTATAAGAGAATCACAGCGGCTCATAAATAAACAGATTAAATGAACAAAAGGCCTAACAGATTTCGTCCAACAAGTTGTTTGTGGCAGGCAATTTTTTCTTCCTATCCCCGCAGGAAAGAAAATATTTCTGTCAACAGATACACCAAAAACAGAGCTGCACCCTGGAGAGAATGCATTTGGTCGACAGACTGATTTGCGACATCTGAGTATTTGTTTCCTCCTATTCCAGAAGGAAATGGAAAATGTGATTCTGCTAAATTACTGCATTCCAGATATATATACCAAAAAAAAGGACAAGACATGAGGTGTGCAGCAGCAAATTCAGATCAGAACAGTTTGGTACATATTTTTTCCCCAAATACTACTACAGTAGCTGCTTATAATCATTCAGTCACTGGAGAGCAGCGGTTCTGTTTTACAATGTACAAGCAGGCGAGACGGCAGGCTTGAAACTGAAGCTAGCTGCACATCCCCAGCCTTACAACCTTGATAATAAAATCCTTAAAGAAACAAACGAACAAGCGAAAGGAATAGCAAGCGGAACTAGAGCAGCACTAATAAACCCTAGCTAATTTTGCTTCCGCGCGACCCCAAATAGTTCCCTTCATAAAAACCCGGAAACGGCTCGTCGTGTCGCTGGAGCTGCCGATCTCTTCTTGCTTGATCAGAGAGATAGATCCATACTAAAGAAGATAAAAAAGAAAAGAAAAACACATGCAGGAAAAGAAAAAGAAAAATACTGATCTGCTGCCGTGCTGCTAGATGTGAATACTGCTGCCATTCGCGAAGTACGTCGACACCAGGCCGTTCATCCTTAACTTGGTCTTAGGGGCTCCGGGACCGGCGATGCACCTGGTCGGTGAGCTGACAGCACCGGAAGTACGCTGAAGCAGGTGCTCTAGCTGTCCAGATGATGCAGCGATCAATCCTGCACATATTCAAGCACATTGTTTATGTCATTTGTTAAGTTGTTAAATTGACATCGAAAGGAAAGAGACGATATATTGTATCAGACAGAGTGAAGTGCAGTTTTGAGGATGTTTTTACCTAAGAAAAGTGGTGATGGCTTTCCAGGCCTAGAGTTAAATTCAGGATGAAATTGCGTGCCCACGAAAAACTTATGGGTTGGTAGCTCAATAATCTGTATCCAATAAAGCATTTCACATTAGATATTTAGAGGAAAAAAATATTAGTGCCTTACTAATTCTAACGAAAATTTAGTAAGCTTACCTCCATGCGTCTCCCGCTCTCATCCCTGCCCACGAAAGAAAGCCCTGCTTTCTCAAATTCTGAGACCATGTCAGGATTCACCTGAAAAAATGGAGCATGTTTCTATCACCAAACTGGATTAATAATAACAGAAAGTTACTTACATGTCATCGCATTCTTTGACATACCTCGTATCTGTGGCGGTGTCGTTCGTCTACATAGTTAGCATTGGCATACCTATAACAGTTCAGATCTCGTACGATTATTTCCAGAACATGAAATGTGAAGAAGGCGTCAAAGGTAAAATATACAAGATTTCTTACAGTTTAGCAGATTTGCAGTTGTTGACCTGGAAAAATGTCCTCCTTGAACCAAGGCGCATCGTCGCGCCCATGTGAGTTTTGGAGCCCTGCAGAGGCATTGTGGAAGGTGCTGAGTAAGCACAAGGTGTCTCACACAAATAAACTACTTAAATACAATAGCTGGTAAGGCAAGTTACCTCTGGCATGAAGATAACACATGGTGTTTTTGCAGCTGGATCAAACTCCGTGCTATTAGCATCACGCAGCTTCATGACAGAACGTGCATATTCGATCACTGCAATTTGCATGCCCAAGCAAATGCCGAGATACGGAACGTTGTTTTCTCGCGCATGTTTTGCAGCAAGAATTTTTCCCTGGACACCTCTGTCTCCAAAGCCTCCCGGAACTAGTACGCCGTTTGCACCCTGAGGTTGAGAACTCTTTCAGATTTCTGCATAATTGCCATCGTTCGAAAATATATGCAGTGCTTACCTTTAGTAGACCCCATGCTTTCTCATAGGCATCAGGCGTCTGTACAATGAAACAATACCCAAGATCAGTATATTCACCATCATAGAAAGTGGGATTAAAATGATATCCGGTAAAAACGTGCTGACCTCTTTAGCAGCAGAATCTTCAAGATCACATGAAGGAACCCAGTCCACTACCAGTTTCCTGTCCAAAGCAACCGACGCATGCAGAAGAGCCTGACAGAGGTATCAGAAAATAAACTTGATTACACCCAAAAATAATGTGTCCAAACATAGCCGTTCTCTCAAGGGAGGTTGCAAGATTTCACTAAATGCCTACAAAGCTAAGAAAACCACGCCAAGGAACACTTGAGTAGTTGAATCATGCACGGATAAATGTCAAGTAAATCACCTTCAAAATAGACAGGTAGGAATCCGATATGCCGGTATATTTTCCAACCATGGCAATCCTGACCTGAAAATATTTGTGCACAATAATGTTTAGCACCAGATAAGGCTTACATGTATTACTGAAGGTAACAATTCAAAGGATCAGAACACCAACTGGAGATTTCAGTTTGTCGAATCTGCTGGCTCTTTCAGTCCATTCAGACAACTTAGGTTCTTGAGGCACTTTCCCCACGCTATATAAGAGAAGAAGGAATGCTAAGTACACCGATAAATTAGTCAAATTGATAATCTAATCATACTTGGGCAAAAAAGACGTACCACCAAAGGCCCAGAACCTTCAGAATAGCTTCATGGGCTCTCTGATCCTGTAAAAATACCAGTACATATCGTTAGCTAAGCACATCTAAATTTGGATTCAGTTAACAGAAGAAACTTTATGTGACATACCCTGAGCAACAAAGGGATGTGCCAGATGTTTGTGACATCATGGAGATTAACGATATTTGAAACCTGACAGAAAAAACTCAAAAGTCAGCACTAATGTTGTACTAAAGGAAACACATACTTGCTAATGTACAGAGTTTTCAGTAGCCTTGCAATAAAAGGAAATACTTATTACCGGAACTTGGCAAAACTGCGAGAGTTTCAGTTTCACATTTTCTTCCAGTGGCTGCCATAAAGCACAGAGCAAACAATGTGCAAAGGTAACCATCAGCATCGACGGACTGAAAACAGGGGGTAGGGCTATGGAAGAATCAAAATACAAGACAAATCCTGCATGATACCTGAGTACTGCGGCATGCCAAGATATCAGGCATCAACCCAAGTCCTCTTAGTCCACGGACACTATGCTGGGTAGGCTTTGTTTTCTGAATAAATGATAGTTTGCATTATTTAAAGGAAACGATGTAAATGAAAATGAGTATCGCGGACAATGGTAATATTTTCAGTATTATGGAGCTTCCTTGTGAGCAAAAGTTACCTGTTCACCAACTACGGTTAGAACTGGTACAAGACTAACATGAACCAGGCAAAAGTTTCCAGCTCCTGAAATGCATATTGTGTAAGATCAGGTTAATTTAAACTCAGTTTTACTTTGAAAATAAAAATCTGAAGTCAGATATTGTAAATCACGGTCAAAGAAATAAAGAAAACACTGAAGGACTTCCAACTTTTTCTCACCTACGCGGTACGAAAATTGACCCAATGCTTCGATAAAAGGCATTGATTCGATGTCCCCTGCACCAAGAATGCAACTGTTATGCAGTGAAATTACTTTGACCCCTCAACCGGCAATACTTGCAAACAACTGTGTCCATCGTGTTATTAACAAGTGTGATGGTTTGCTGCAGTAATTTAGTGTGTTGTTTTTACCTATAGTGCCACCAAGTTCTATGACACAAACATCAGCTGGCTTATCTGTGCCATCAACCGGATTCATAGCCACGCGTTCAATCCAGTCTTGTATTTCATCGGTAATGTGCGGTACAACCTGACAAAAGAAGACTTAGTCAGTAAAGTCATCAATAAAAGTTGCACTATTTGCATAAGAACTTACAAAAACAGGGAACTCTATCCTAGTTACCGACTCGCACCTGAACAGTTTTTCCCAGGTAGTCCCCTTTTCGTTCTTTGTTAATAACAGCCTGTATCAAATCAAAAACTCAACTGTTAGTTACATGATAAAAGCACGAAGAAAAATTAATTTTATTTATTTATCCAAAAAAATCATGTCTTGTAAGGAGGATATCAAATCTAAGTGATAGCATATTCTCCAGCGGTCCTAAACTTTGATAGGTACATAACTCCCAACAGCTACATATGGCATTTAATTGCAGTTAGGCCCATACAAGATTTGTCAAGGTGAAATGTAAACCACATAACTCTGGTAAAGTGACACAAGAAATTATTTGTGGGTCCCATGGAAAATCCTGGCAATCAAGTACCCAAACAAGAAAATATCACCAGTCTGCAAATGTCAAAGGTGAAGTATAAACCACAAATTTTCAGTTTTTCACTGGATAGCCTGAAGTCTAATGCACACTGGGACAAAGACTGGTCATATATCCCGGATCACCTGGTAGATCTTTCCAGTGGTTATGTTGTTGTCGCGAGTCAGCTTGATGTCCAGAAACCGCTCATAATTTCCAAGATCCAAGTCCACCTTTGACCCAAAAAATGAGAGAGGGATATCAAAATGAGGTCCATTGAATCCTTGAAAGAACAAAAGGGGAAAAATTGCAATTATCCCATACTTAGCTCATTTTGTAAGAATGCTAGAACGTGGAAGAAGATAAGAAAAGTGTGCCCCTTTTGACAAGTGGGCAAGTGCCAAAATTTTGGGTGCTGACGTGGCATTATCCTGTACTAGGTGCAGAGGTGGCATTTGGTTATCCATGGTTGGTTGGTGCACTTTCTCAAATTTCTTGATAACCCAAATACTTCAGTAGTTCAGACTGAACCCCCAGATACTGTTGTAAGTAGTGGTTTAGTACAGTTTAGTGCAGGACAAACAGCTAGCTAAGTACAGCTTAGTAGAGTGGTTTGGCACAGCTTGTTAAGAGGTTGGATGGTGAAGCAGCAGCTAGTGGTAGCAGTAGGTAGGTACCTCGCCGCCGTCGTCGAGGACGAAGACCTCGCCGTGCTCGAAGGGGGACATGGTTCCGGCATCGGTATTGAGGTAGGGATCTGCACATCACATGGGCATGGCAGTGAGAAAATAAACAAGATGAGAGTCAGAGCAGAGGAGCCGGCCACTGGTGAACCCAGATTATATTTATCTCAGTCTAGAGAAAAGATTTGTTAAAGAACTGGACCCAAGATGCATAGTACTACTAGTACATGACAGGACAAGGAAAAAAACAGTTTGTTAGTAAAGATTAAAGAAGCAGACCCAAGAAAGGTTCATGGCACTTGGCCTGGGTCAAGAGACAGAAAGTTTCAGTTAACCTTTTCAAAACAAAAGAAAGCTTGAGTTGAGACAAAAAATCTGCCTGGGCGAGCAGAGCACGAGGTGCCAAATTTGACCCGGATTACCGGCTGCCCGTCCCCATGTCATATAAAATACACCTGGGAAGTGAGAGGAGTTCATGTGTCTCAAGGAACCCGGACAGTGACACTGGCCGACATACAAAGTCTCAGATTCACCAAAGCAAACGCAGACATCACTCACCAAAGATAATGAACCGTCAAAAACTTTGAACTAAAACCACGACAAGAACCGATGGAGAGAGTAGCACTCCCTCCCCTCCGTCCCAGAATAAGTGTCTCGGCAAGATGAAATAGCGGAAGCACATGTCAGAAAAATAGACAGAGGAAGCAGAGGGAACAGTTCAGAATATCATATTACTGGCCTGCAGTGCAGAGTGCGTGCATTTTGCTCTGATTTGGGGAGAAAAGTTTGGTTGATTTTGTGATCTAGGAGGAAGAAAACCGTACGAGTAATTAACCTAACCTAACTAGCTAGCTAGAGGTAGTTAACTAACCTAGCTGCTGCTACCGGTTGTTTTGAAACTTGGAGTGGACAAGAACAGAGAAAAAACAAAGCGGGGGAGCACGTTGGTGGCCTGTGCGATCACGTGGCCACCATTACCAAGGAGCAGAGCGGACGGCCGTTGTTTTCTTTTCATTTTTTCCGTCTCTCTCTCTCTCTCTTCTGGTTTTGACCGGCAAAAGAAAGAAAGAAATGGAGAACCGGCGGCGGGAAGTGCGGGGCGGGAGAAACGGGAGGAGGAGGAGGCGGCGGTTACCGATCTTGATGGAGGTGACGCGGAGGCCGCAGGCCTTGAGGAGGACGCCGATGCTGCTGGCCGTCACGCCCTTGCCCAGGCCGCTCACCACGCCGCCGGTCACCAGCACATACTTCATGTCCACGCGCGTCGCCGGTCACTCACCGCACTGGCAGCCGGCTGGCTGGCTCGTGCTGCCGCTGCCTTCTTGCCTTCTTGGGGGTTCGGAGAATGGGTGAGGGAGGGGGGAGGAGAGGGAGTGGCCGAGGTGAGGTTTTTGGTTTGGAGATGTGAATGAGAGGGGAGGGAGGAGGAGGGCTGTGTTAAATAGAAGCGGGAGGTAGGGAGGCCACCGAGGCGGGGACAAAGCCACTGATTCTCTCTCTCTCTCTCTCTCTCTCTCTCTCTCTACTCGTAACTGAAAGTGTGGCGCCTCAGAAAAAAAAAGCGTAGCCCCTTTCATTTTCTCTCTCTACTGTTTCTGTCAAAATCCAACGGATGGTACATAATTTATCCATGGAAAATCTAGGGCCCTACGAGGACCACATCCGATCCGGATGGGGTTTTTTTTTCAAAAAAATTAGGTTTGTGCTTTTTTGATCTCACCTTGCCGCGCCACTGACCGCAGGTCACGATTGATTAGTGGCTTGATTATTTGGATACTATGTTGGATCGGTTCGAGTGCGCGGGAATTTTAGTTCAATTTTTCTGCCGGTCGGACACGCAAAAGCCGCGGGTGAGTCGAGCCCCCATTTTAGCAAACGGGCCACGCACAAATTGCTCAAAGGTTGGACAAGTGCGTAAGGATTGGTCTATAATCTCGGCAAATACGTATTCACGTGTTTTAAATTTGTGTGTTATATATGCGGCTTCCGGCTTATCACAAACTCACCGGACCCCTCCCCTCTGCCACCCCGTCCTAGAAGTTAAAACTCCTGTTTTAAGTGTTGTGCCTCTAGACTTTTCGATGTGCACTATATGGAAGAGATGGTTGATCGTCAAGCTTTCACCGTCACGAGAACCCACATGGACCGTCGTGTGACTGCACACAACAATGCCACCGTTCATTCACCGTGAGTGCGGCTTGCGCTTTGTATGATGGAGATGATGGTATCAGTGTGATAAGAATAAAACTAACTTTTCCATGTCAATGAGAATCTTGCTGCCTCGAGACCAATGGTTGACAACAGTCTCAAAAAGACTCAAGTAGGAAGTTTCCATTTGCAACTTTGGGGGGAGACATAGCCACCTCTGTTCAAGAATCTATTCCGCCCGGCACTTCCGCGTCTGAATGTACACTCTCATTTCCGTATGTCGGTCATTAACAAGGGAAATTCTATATTCCTCCCCTCTTACTATCATAGGTTGGTTTCGCTTGAGAATACATGGGGAATCATACTTCCATCAAAAGTGTATTCAAATGTTGGCTTATATTCCCTAGTTGGTCCACAGACCTAAGTGTCATGACTTCTCACTCTCGCTTTCAATATGCATTGTTAACGAGAGAATTTACGAGCACCAAGTTTTCGCCATCACTGGAGCAACATGACTGTGTGTGGCTGCTCACAACATTGCCACCGTTCATTCACTGCGAGTGCGGCTCTTACTTTGTATGATTGAAAAGATGTTTAGTGTGGCGAGAATAAACCCAACTATCAAAGGTCGAATTCAAACACAAAAGATCAACACCCCCAACGACAGCTTTCCCAGTGTCAAATGAGAATCTAACTATCGGGACTACTTGTTGACACTAGTCTCGGAAAAACCCAAATTCCATTCGCGACTTCAGGGCAGAAGCCTTGCCACTTTTCGCCAAGAATGTATTCCGTCCAGCACTGACGCGTCTTAATGTACATTTGTTTCAATTATTGTTTCCATTTGTCAGGGCAAGAAAAATTCCACATTCTCCCCTCTTCCTATCAATAGCTGATTTCGCTTGAGAATACAACGGGAATCATACTTCCATCAAAAGTGCATGCAAAGTATGGCTTACATTTCTTAGTTGGTCGAATGACTAGTGTGTGAGAAAGTGTCATGACATCGCTAACCATCTTTTCCCACATGCACTGCAAATGATACAAGCAAAGGATAGAAGCGATGATCGGTGAGTTTACACCTGCGCGAGAGCCTACATGGGAGCAACGTGACTGAGTGTGGCCGCTCGAACAACCGCCACCGTTCATTCAGCGCGAGTGCGGCTTGGGCTTTGTATGATTCAAAAGATAGTTTAAGTATGTCAAGAATAAACCAAACTATCAAAGGTCGAATTCATATAACAAATATCAAGCCCCCAAAGACAACTTTCCTGTGTCAATGAGAATCTAACTATTGTGACCACCGGTTGACACCAGTCTCATAAAGCCCCAAGAAGGAAGTTTCCATTCGTGACATCGGGACGGAGGCCTAGCCAACTTTCGCCAAGAATCTTATTCTTTCTCACTGTTCCCAGTCTGAATGTACATTTGTTTCGAGTCTCGTTTCGCATTGTCGGGCATTAACAAGAAAAATTCGATATTCCTCTTGTTTTACTATCATACCTGATTTCGTTTGACAATCCAAAGCGAATCGTACTTCCATAAAAGAAACGCTCAAAAGCTGGCTTATATTCCCTAGCGTCTGGCCGATTGACCTAAGTGCATGACTAAGTGTCATGCAAGGAATAATCAAGGCCATCATCGCTGCATGCAGCTAAGCAAGCACTAGTGCACACTTCATGCTTTGCTAGCTAGCTAGGCTTGCCCACACGCGAATCCGATTCTGAGAAGGAATTCGTTCACAACAGCAAGCCGTGGAGCGCCATCAAACCTCTTTTTTTTTATTGTGGTGAACCGTGGAATTGCCATCAAACCTCTTTTTCTGATTTGGGGTGAACCGTGGAATTGCCATCAAACCTATTATTGTGGTGAGCCGTGGAACGGTCAGATATGAACATATGCCGACTAAATAGCGCCAAACTGTCAGGTCGTACTACGTCCTTGGGCACTGCTGTCGATTGATCATCGGCAGAACGTCATGATCTCTATGTCCTGATTAGTTTTAGGGCGGGCAATCACTTTATTTGAATTCCTTGATCATGTCTTTGTACATAAACCAAGGCTAACGTTGGTGGAGCCCCCGGCGGCACTCGATTAGAAAGAGTTGACACATTCGATGTTCCGACAAATTATGGCGGGTAGAAATATTTCACCCCGCAACGTTTGGTAAAATATCTCCGCGCTTCGTTAAATATCACCCCGCGAGGTTCCGAAACTCGATCAAGTCGGCACAGGACGCCACCGCACTCCCATTACTAGGTCAAAAACCATGTCACAAATTGACATATTAATTTACAACTCGACTTTCGCTTCGATGCTACTTGATCTTGTAATCAACGGCCGGCGTGTTTTCACACATCTTTGTCGTGCTGGTCTTGTTACGTTACAGTTGGCGCGATAGCGATTTCGGGTCGATTTGTTTTACCATGAACGGAGAAGAAGTACGTGGATTAATCGGGCTAAGCAGTTAATCATGGTTCCCGTGGGAAATCATAAGCGGAAAGGTGAGAATTTGAAACTTGGCGCCAAAGCTTTGTGCCTACCTACCCACCAGCCAGCTGCATTCTTCCATGCACCCGTCCATCGGTCTTACCCGGATCACAATCTGAATTAACTTTGCAGCTAGCTGCTACCCTACCAAGTGGATTTAGTTGGATGGTTCACCATGTATGATAGTTACATGAGTTGTTGATTAAGATATATACAATCATGCACAAAACGAATCAGCCCTCTCAGAATATCTTCAATGATGTTTTTTTAGGCAAATATCTTCAGTGGTATGAAGTCGGCAACATAATTCTGCTGGATTTGGACGGTTTAATTTTTCGTAGGACAGATAGAGCAGAGATCAGAACTCAAGTACACCATGAAAAGCCACTTATCAGTAGTGGCTGAATCACAAAGAGGTGTCTCCGGCCTCAGGGGCGGCGCCAGGGGTCTTCTTGGGTATTCGATTGAATACCCAAGATTTTGACAAACCATTGAAATTTTATATAAAACAAGCGATTTTTTTTTGCAAAATAGTGATGATTTAGGCAAAATGAATACCCTTCTTCAAAATGAATACCCACCCTCTAGAACCTGGCGCCGCCACTGTCCGGCCTCGGTATCAATTGATGTCCGTGGTCATAACTTCGTTGTCAAAAGATGAATAGCCCCGCAACAAAAATATTAGCATCAGCACTGTACCGTCGTGTCATCGTCTAGAGCAGCCACGGTTGGAAACGGGTGCGTGTGCACTGCATCTCTTCCAAGCTCCAACAGTAACTTAACGGTACGCATTATTCATTGCAATTATGCGTGTGCAACTGGCTAGCTAAACCCCAAATTAGAGACGCTTGGGGTCATCATTATCATGATCCATAATCCGGATTGCTGCAGGCATTTGCGGGCTAAACTATCATGGGCGTCGCTGTCCGGTTATCGTTACGCTCGCACGTCGGGATCGTACGTACCCGGCCGGCAGTTGTTGGTTTCGTCACGTACGTTATCCACAGTTTGGTACGCCACTACCTACGGGGGTTTTGAGCCTTTGAGATTTCTTGAGAGTGCAGGGAGACGACGCCACACTGCCTTCCTTGGCCGACTATAATTTTTCCTTGACGGTACAATGACCCGCGCACTAAACCCGGCCATCATACTCATATATACGACCATCTATTGAAGCGGGCAAAAAAAAAATCTTGCCCGGGGTCCATGTGCACGTGCCTATAATAGATACGGAATTATCGGTTTATCGGTAGTGAGAAATGAGTAATCTACTGTTTATCGTCTATAGTCAGAGTTGAAATCTGAGCGGATGGTAAAAGCAGAGGCATATATTGGTCATGTTCAAGTCCAATTCAGAGGATGTAGGGGATAAAAAATAACCTGAATTCTAAAAAGTGCATACGCACTAATTAGCGAAACTGAGAGGCCGGACTCTCACACATGCATGCATGCAGTGACTGAGCGGCCGGACTCTCACACATGCATGCATGCAGTGACTGAGCGGCCGGACTCTCACACATGCATGCATGCAGTGTTGTGGTCTAAAATTTTGTCTTTATGCATGATGTGGCGGATAGTAATGACATATTCATGTGAGCAAGAGATTCCTTGTCTG